GCGTCTCTGGAAGCTTGTGAGGCCACCAGCTGCCCTGTAGAATCTGAGGACGCTCCTCTTCCATCCAGATCAGTCATTTCCACTGGGGAGTGGGACTTTATGGATCCCAAGGCCAGAAGGGACCATTGGGATGAGCCAGTCTGACCCCCTGGATACCACAAGCCCGAGACCGTTCCCCCAGCGTGATCCCTAGCACAGATCTGTTAGAAAAACAGTCCGTCTGGATTGAAAAATGGCCAGTGATGGAGAATCCCCTCCCCCCCCCCCTCCCCGGGGGGAAATGGTTCCTGTGGTTAATTACTCTCACTGTGACAAATATACGCCTTGGTTTGTCTAGTTTCAGCTTCCAGCCATTGGTCCTCCCTCTGCTAGACCGAAGAGCCCATGATTAGCTATTTGTTCCTCATGCCGGGCTGTCGACTGTAATCAGCTCACTCCTTAACCGTCTCTTTGTGATGCTAAAGAGACTGAGCTCTCAGCCTGTCACTGTGGGGCGTGGTCGCTAAGCCTTTAATCCTTCTCCTGGCTCTTCTCTGACCCCGCTCCAATTCATCAGCCTCCTTCTGGACTCGTGGGCACCTGAACTATACACACCGCTCCAGCAATGCCCAGTGCAGAGGTAAAACAACCTCTCTGCGCCTACATGGGATTCCCGTTCATACACCCCAGGATGCCATTAGCCTTTTTGGCCACAGGGTCCCACTGGGGGCTCAGCTGATTAGCCACCAGCCCCCCCCCCAATCTTTTTCAAGGTCGTTCTTTCCCAGGGTAGAGGCTCCCATCCTCGACGTATGGCCGGCAGTCTTTGTTCCTGGATGGATACAGTTGCATTTAGCCGTATTCAAAGCCATGTTGGTTGCTTGCGCCCCCCCCCCCCCCCCGTTTGCCAAGCGAGCCTTTGGCCACGTCCCGTCGCAGTGATGTCAGGGCCTGAAACCATCTGTTCCGGGGACCCCGGAGGGTGCCCGGCAGAGCCACTTCTGTGGCTGGGGTGCAGCCACGCTTCCCATTGGGCTTTGGGCATTAGCCAGTTGCTAGGTACTGGGGGCTAGGAAGCAACTTCTTGGGGGCAGGTTATGCCACTTTTGTCCACAAGGGGGTTTCTTGCAGCTGGTGTTTGCCACGCCTGGCGGAGGTGGACCGTGGCTCTGGGGCTGCGTGGCCCAGCCCAGAACTCTCACATGGAAGGAAGGAATTTCAGGCCTTAGCTACTGGTGCCCATCATTGTGGCATCGGGTTGCATTTTGCGTGGTTTGAGTTGGGTCGTTGACATTCCCAGTAAGAGGAGCAAATCAGCCCCAATCCCATGCAGCCCGCCAGGGGAGCTGGGCTTTGGCCACGGGGTGCAGCCCCCGGGAATGTGTCAGGGAGCACGGGGTGATCTACGCGCTGCCATGCAGGCGCCCCCCACAAGATGGCCGAGGAAGAGCGTCTGCGCAGCTGCCACATCAGTCCGGGGTGGAGCCAAGGTCAAGGGGACAACTAGGGGCTGCAGACCAGCTAAACCCCACCATGCCCTGCCCCCCAGGCCCCGGCTGCTTCCTGGCTGGCTTGGCTGGCTAATGGACAGCGGAGGCCAAGCGGCCTGGGGCAAGCCGGGCGGAGGGGGCTGCTGGCCACGAGGGATCTGACACCAGCGCTCAGGGCCCAGGTATGGAATGGGGAGTGAGGGGATTGTGTCTATCTGGCAACCTCCCCTAGCAGAACTGGGGGGGCGGTGATGAAATGCTCCAGTCACTGCAGGGTGGGGTGGGGTGGGGTGGGGTGGCGCAGGGCAGGGAACTGCCCCCAGGGGAGGGGGAGGGCTTGGGTTTAACTGGTTCACACTCTGGGAACAGCTGAGCCCCATGGGTGGGTTCTAACGACCCCCCGCCCCGGCACAGGGCGCTGGCCGCTGTCAGAGAGGCGATACTGATTCGGTGGGCCTGGGGCCTGACCCCATCCGAGTCCTGGGCCCAGACAATGACGCAGGACTCTCCTGCAGCCTCGTGCCTGCCCCTCGGCTCCAAGGGCTGGGCAGCGGGGGTCACACTGAAAGTCCCTGGGCCGTGTCAGATGGATGGGAGCCCTCTGTGCACCGCCTTAAGAAGTGCAACCAATTGATCTAGCAGTAGATGGCAGGTTGGCCTCAAAACTGCTCCTTCCCGGGGGCAGGCAGGGCCCAGGCCGCCGGCCTCCCCCTGAGCGTGGGGGAAAGGGGCATTTCCAAGGGGGGTCCTCAGCGGGCGCTGCTCCCATCTCTTGTTACGCAGCCCGGCAGCTGGGCAGGCAGGGCTCTAAGCAGTCATTTGTTCGCAGTAATTAAGCCGCTTTGGGGCTCCCCCCTCCCCACATCCTTTTCTTCCTTCCTTTCTGTCTCCCTGCCTGAAGCCTTGTGGAGGGCGCTGACCACAACATCTGGCACTGGGGGGGGGGGGCTCCTTTTTATGGTGGGGCCCCCGGCGTTTTCCCCCCCCTAGGGGCGGGGGGGGGGGGGGGGGGGGCAGGGACTGCTGTTACTCCAGTGGGCTGAGGACAAGGACTCACTCTCCTAGTGGGTGCTGGAGGCTCCAGCTGCGTTTTGCAAAGGATCCGTCCGTAGAAGGGGCAGCCCCCCACTTTCCCCGAGCAGGGAGTGAGGGGGAGGGGGACCCGGGAATCCTATAGTCCATTTTCCCACCAGAACCACTTGCAAGTGGGGTGCTGAGTTTCCTTGAGCCAGGGGGTCTGTGCCCCTCAATTGCCTGCAAAACTCCAAAAAAACCCAGCCAGCTTTCCCTCCGGGCCTGGGCCCGCGGCTTGGCTGTGCCACCCCCTCGCCCAGGCCGTTGGGAGGGGGAGAGTCGCTTGGGTTTCTGTTTGCCCTGGTTTGTTGCAACTTTTCTAGTGTTTCTTTTTGAAATCAATTATACTCCAATGCCAAGCCCAGGGGCTCTTTCAACGCCCCCCCTTTGAAATTCTCCCTGTTCCAGTTTAAGGCGGGGGGGGGGGATGTTTGGTTTTTTTCCCCTTCCCCTCCTTGCAAGGGACAGTTTGCAGCTGTCTCAATGGGGCCATGTCCGCTTGCAATAATAAATAAAAGAGGCAGGCCAGGAGCTGGGGAAGGCTGGAGCATTTGAAAGGCTCTGGAGCAGAATTCCTGTGTTTAGTGAAGTTTTTTCTTCTCCGCTCCCTCCAGTCTCTGCCCTCATTGATTTGCGGGAGGGAGGGAGCGAGGGGGGCTGCTTGGGTGGTCTTCCCTCGTCTCCACTTTGGTGAGCTGTTGCTTAGCAGCTAATAATAGGAGATGTTTGCAAAGTAATTTGCCTCTTCCTTAGCCAATGGGAACCGGAGCGCTTTCCCATCACCCCCCCCCCCCTTCATGATCTGGAAGGGAGGCTGCGGCTCGCTCCAAATGTTGGTGGGACAGGATCCGAGGCGCACGGGGGAGAGTTGACGATCGGCTGCTGCCGCCGGCTCGGAGGGGGTTTTCCCCGCGCGTGTGGCTCCACTGTGGGTGCCCCCCAAGACGCCGCGTTAGTGCACAGCCCAGCGCGAGGGCGCACGGGGCCCGCTCGCATGGCCCCGGGGCTGGCCACATAATGTTGGAAGGGATCCCCCGGAGCAGAGCGGAGCCCTCGGATGCTGCCCGCTGCCCCCTGGATTACCGCCCTCGCCGTTCCGCCGTCCCCGCCCGCCCTCGCTCGACCCCCGCTGGAGCCGGACCATGGCCTCGGAGCCCCGCTTTGGAGAGCGCGCCCCGAGCTCCGCTCCGCCCGGCCGGGGAGCCGGCTGCGCCCACGCCGCCTCGGCGCTGAAGCGGATCTCCAAGGTGAGGGGGCGGCAGAGCCCGTCCCACGGAGCCCCCGGGGACACTGCAACGGGGCGGCCGCGGCCAAGTGGGGGGGGCACCTAAAATCTGCCCCGCCCTGGTCCCGGGCAGCTCGGGGAGGGAGCCGCTTGGAGAGGTGCGTGCGCCCTGGCGGTGCCTCGGCCGGGGGGCCGGTTCCGGGAGCTCGGTTTCCCGGCCGTTTGGGGGGACACAGGGCTGCGCCCTCCCCTCTTTCCTTGCCGGGTTGGCGCGGAGCGCGGCCGGTGCCCCCGGATCCGGCTTTGCTGGAGGGGGGCCGGGGAGGGACGCCAGGCAAACTGGGGAGTTGCGCCGGGCCCCTCTGGGGAGAAGTTCGCCCCTCGGTCGCATCCCCCTGGGGCCGCCCCCCCCCCGGAACGTGTGACACTCTGCGGCCAGTAGGTCCCCCCCAGCCCTTGCTGCGCGGAGCCAGAGGGGGGAGCCCGGGGGACCTTGCACCCCCATCACTGGCCCGGGGGGAAGGGTCAGGCTGGATGGAGCTGACGGGCATAAAGAAGGGAGGGAGACAACCCAGCAAATGCGTGGGGACGCGGGGACCCTGGGGGACAGTGGGGGGGCGCCGGGAGCCTGCCGGGCAGGGTGGGGGACGCGGGGACCCTGGGGGACAGTGGGGGGGGCGCCGGGAACCGGCCGGCCGGTGGGGGACTCGGGGACCCTGGGCAGTGCAGGGGGGGCGCAGGGAGCCGGCCGGGCGGGGGGGGGGGCGGGGGCCCCTGGGGGGTACAGGGGGGCGCAGGGAGCTGGCCGGGCGGCGGGGGACGCGGGGACCCTGGGGGGTGCAGGGGGCGCAGGGAGCCGGGCGGACGGGGGGGGGGGACGCGGGTACCCTCGGGGGCAGGGGGGGCGCAGCGAGCCGGCGGGGGTCTGCGAGGCTGGGGGCAGCTTGTCTCGCTGGGCAGAGGCAGCGGTGGGGGATGCTGCGCGCAGGGGGCGCCCTGCTCCCCAGGACACCCCGGGGGGAGCCAGGCCCCTGGGGCTGCGGGGAAGGGGGATCCCCGGGGTCCCTTGGCCCAGGCGGAGGGGGGTGATGCCAGCACCTGTCACCTCCCCCCGCAGCCGGCCCCATGGGGCGGGGTCCCGCCGGGCCGGGCCGGGGTAACGCTGCCCCTCTCCCCGCAGGGCGAGGCCGGGGGCCCCAAGGCCCCGCTGTGGCTGCGGGCCCGGTTCCAGGCGCTGCTCTTCGCGCTGGGCTGCCGCATCCAGCGGCACTGCGGCAAGGTGCTGCTCGCCGGGCTGCTGCTCTTCGGGGCGCTGGCCCTGGGGCTCCGCGCCGCCGCCATCGAGACCGACCTGGAGCGGCTGTGGGTGGAAGGTAAGAGCCGGGCCGAGCGCCGGGGGGCGGGGGCTGTGGGGGCTGGGCTGTCTGGGCACTGTGGGGCTGTCTGGGCGCTGTGGGGGGGGGGGGATCTCCGTGCCCCTGTGGGGGTCGGAGGAAATGGTGGCTGTTGTAGGCAGGAAATGAATGTGCTTGGGCTGCTGAACCGGAATCCAGCTGGGTTCGGCTCTGAGCCGCTCTGGGAGCGTTACTGAAGGGATCCTCCATGCGCCCTCCCAAGGTGTGGGTGGACACCTGGCACATACAAACACGTATGTGAACGTGTCTGTGATCCACGCTCTGCTCCGGTCTCATCTTTGACACCTCGGCTGTGCTATAGGAGAAATGCATAAAGGGAGAGCCCCACGCTGCACATGCATGAACATGTGAACCTGTGCAAACATGTATGTCCGGACATGACCGTACACACGCCCCCCAGTGTAAAAATTCGTAGAACAATGCACGGCCCCTTATGGAAGTATTTGCTGCCTTGAATCCTCTGGCATTCCCAGAGCAGCTCCTGGCGCTCGGTGGGAGAGGAGACTGATGAAGTAGTGCATTCCCCAAGAATTTGGTAGCTGTGGGGCACCCGTGGGAGTGCTTTCCCGGGGGGGTGTGTACATGGGCGTGCACGCCATGGCGGGTGCATGGGGTTCTGTGCGGGAGCCGGATCGCTGTCGATGCACGTCCGTGTCTCCACGGAGGCACGTGTAATTAAATTCTTTTCCCTCCGCGAATGAGACGCACCAGGCCCCTGCTCCGATATTGCATTATTGATATGAAAATCCGGAAGGTGCTGACGGAGAAGATAATGAAACCTCTGACAGCGCTGTCGGTTACGGGCTGGCTTGGGGCACGTGCGCCTGCCCCCCGGGGGGAGAGGGAGAAGGGAATCAAGTGAGAACACAAACAGCCGAAAGCAAGGGGCAGACGAGAGCAAAGCCTCATTTCCTAGTGGAAACGTTTGATAAAAATGATTCCTTTGTTATTAATAAGTTCAGCCTGGAATTCTGCGCTCTCCCCGCGGCTGCCGGGCGGTCCGAGTTTTCCTTCTCGTGCTCCGGGAGGACTTTTCCTTTCTGGCCTCTCCACCCCTGGGACACCCGCGTAGCCTCCTCTCGCAGCCCTTCTCCGAGGCCACATCAGGTTGGACTTTCACACCCTCCGGTTGTGTCAGCCATCTTTGAGTTACAGCGCTCCTCCCTCCCCGCCCCCCAGCTCCATGTGTGGTCCTCAACTACTCTTGGATTTTGTTCAACAATAGAAGCAACTTTACTGGCCCAGCCCTTTAAAAGAGCCCCCCTCCCTCCCTCCCTCCCCACCGTGAATGCCAGTAAAGTTTACACACCTGTTTCACACAGAGAAGAGGGGTGTCTGAGTGGCTGTTAAGAAAAGGAGGCGAGGTCTTATCTCCTCCCCCCCCCCCTTCCTCTGCCTTACACAGATTTGTGGCCAAAAAAAAAAAAAAAGAGCCCCCCCCCACCGGCTGTTCAGCATTTACAGAGGGGAAACCCCCCCCCCCCTTTATCCGCATGCAAAGCAAGGCTGTACCATGGGGGATTTTGGTCGCTTGGGTTCGGTAGCTTTCAGGACTGGTGGCTGTTGAACGGAGCAAGGAACCAGGATCTCAGATGTGTTCCTGAGGGAGATGAGAGCTGGGCTGAGTGTCTCAAAGGGGGGGATGGGAACAGTGTGGCATGGGGGGGAGAGATGTGTAGGGAGGAGTGCTTTGAATCAAGGTGTGCCGGCACGGCTAGCGGGGGGAGTTTCAGGTGACATAGAAGCCCAGGATTGTGGTTGTTCTGAGATTCTCTGTATGCCATAGGATGTGCCAGGGGCTGGCCTGGGTGCCGTGCTGTCTGGCTCAGGGCTGCTCTGTGCTGACTCGTGTTTGCCCAAGAGGCCGCTTTGTGCTGCCTGGGTGTTGTTTGGCGCGCTGAGCAATGGTGGTGGCTTTGCGGGTGCTTCGAGTGTGCGATGGGCTGTATGGGTTAGAGGAACAGTCGGGTTCAGGAGGCAGGGTCCAATTCTGACTCACCCGCTGGGCTTTGGGCACTTCCAGCTGCCGTTCTGTGCCTCGGTTTCCCCATCTGTGAAATGCAGATGATAACCTTTACCTGCTTGGTAGCGCGCCACAAGGTGGCGTCAGGTGACATCTGCCCAGTGCTTTGAATGGGCAGAGAGTAGTGCCAAGCGCTGCCGATATCCGAGTGATATCTGCCGATGCCGTGTGAACCTTCTGGCTGTGAGACGATCACGCGGCTGAGGCTAGCTTGTGCGGTCAGATCTGTGCTTCCGGGACTGAACTCCTCTGGGCCGTGGCTCTGCGTGATAGTCCGGCCAGTGCTGAGCGCGCTGGTGCTCAGTGATGGGTAGATGTGGGGGCCTCCGTGCAAAGAGGGGCCCAGTGTAGTGCCCTGCCCGTGGGCTGTGCAGGGCGTAAGTGCTGTTGGAGAGTCTGGAGCAGGCCGAGCGGCTGCAGTGTCCCCTGGCACAGTGCTGGGCTGCGTGTCAGGACCTCAGGCAGCTCACTCTGCCCACGGGCATTGCCGCCTGCCGCTCCCTAAGGGCGGCACGTGCCGATGGCTTTCGCTCCTGGTTCCCAGCGGGGCAATGGCACAGCCCTTGCCACAGGGCCTCGGGCCACGTCTAGCTCTTCCGTCAGCCGGCCCTGGGGATTCCCATCAGTCTGCGGAGCCAGGGCTGACCCCTTCATCAAGTGGGCATGGGGGCTAGATCCTGTGGCAGTGGCTCGTCCCCGGTCCCGCCTCTCGGGATACATGTGATGTTGAGCAGGGTGGAGAGGGTCACACCGAGGAGTGAGGCTGGGGTGGGTGGCAGCGAGGGGTCTCTCTGCCCTGGGAAGGGCTGGGTTTGATTTTTCCGGTACAAGACGGCTCAGGGCAGCTGCTGCTTGTATCTCTGTGGGGCAAATGATAAATCCGCTGCAAAGGAATGGCCGGAGCAGTCAGCCCCGGTCTGAGACGGGGGTGGAGCTGGGTCAGCTGAAGTCCCTGATCCTTTCTGTCACTGGTGCCTTTGCGCTCGGCCTACGAGTAGAGCTGCAGGTTCCCCACGGATCGGGGTCACTGGTGACAGAGGGGTTGGGATCGGTTGTCGGCCAGGGTGTGGGGGTGCCAAGGGTCCCTCTCCAAACCAGCCCCAGCGCGGCGGGCACTGAGCAGACCTAGAGCAGTTTCGGTAGCGAGACTGAGGACAGAATGGGCCAGGGAGGCTCAAGTCCCGTCTCTCCCCACGGCAGGGCCGAGTCCCATGGGCCGGGGGCACTATATGGGAAGCTTACACTGGCCTGTGGAGAAGCCAAGGCCTCGCGGGTCCTGTCGGGCGGGTACCTTGCACCAGTGCTTGGCTCCCTGGCAATGCAGCTAGCTACCCGCTGCCCTGCACGCAGAAGAGCATTGCCCAGAGCACGCCTGTGGGGGGAGAGGGTGCCCCCGGAGCCACGGGCAACAGCAGCAACTGATCAAGCCCCCAGCCTGGGAAGGGGCTCCACGCTCCAGGACGTGTTGCCGGCTGCCGTGGCCTCGGGCGTCTCCAGAAGGTGACAGCAGGGATGGGTCTGCCCCTGCTGTTATGTGGGGGGAAGGAAGCAAGCAGACCCCAGCGTGTAGCACAGACTCTACACTAGGACTTTAATTCGGATTTAGCTGCCTTAATCCGAATTAACCCTTCACCCGTCCACACTACAGAGCCAGTTAATTCGAATTAAAGGGCCCTTTAAATCGATTTCTGTACTCCACCTCGACGAACGGAGTAGAGCCTAAATCGATTTTGTTAATTCGAATTAGGGTTAGTGTGGACGCACACCACCGAATTACTGTGGTTTAAAACCGAATTAAGGTGCTTAGTGTGGCCGCGCACAATCGAATTTATACAACCTGTTTCCCAAATTCGAATTATCTAAATTCGGATTAATCCTGTAGTGTAGACATACCCTCAGCTGCTGTGTGGAGCCTGCCACAGGCTGGGACTGGTGCAGGGAAGAGCTGTGAGGATGATAAGGGACCTGAGGGCCTGGCTGCTGAGAGGAGCCAGGGGGAGCCGAGGGGGGACTTGATCTTTGCTCTCTTGCCATACACCCAGCGTGTGGGTGCGGGTCACTTGCAAGGGTTATCTGGGTATCTCTCTACCGCCGGACTCTCTCCTCCCCGGGGCGGGCCGGCATCGGGCCGGCCTGTGAGGGGCCCGCTCCATTCCCGTGGTGGAGCCTGTCATGAGAGCTCGCCTCCTGCGCCAGGCCGGCGGGATCGGGACCGTTGCGGAGGGAGGGAACATGACAAGGTTACAGCTGCCGCTGGAAGCAGGAGGGGTGGCACGTGGAAAATGGAAACCGGCCCGGGCCATACAGGCTGTGCCCATGATGGAGAAGGGGTTATTGACCGGCCTGATCCACCGGGGGGGGGATGGGAAAAGAGATGGCGGCGCCCGTAAATTGGGATTGCCTGTGGAAATGTTCAATTAGGTGCCTCTAAAGCGATTAGCTTCTTGGAGGCTTTGAACCCCCCGGCTGAGTGTTGAGTTACCTCTGGCCACCTGGCAGCTGTTCCTGGCCGTCTGAGTGTGTTTGCAGGGCCAGGGGGCTGGGCTGGGGATGATTTATGGGGCCGAGAGCTGGGTCAGGGGAAGGCTGCGTTAGCCCCAGTGCCCTGTGCAGCAGCTTCCCAGCCACCTGGCGTGCAGGAATCTCCCCCGCTCCCTGTCCCCGGCGGAAGGACTGTGGAAAGTGGGGGGCTCACTGCCCCCAAGCTCCGGTATGTGGGACCAGGGGGGCAGAGAGGGGAGATTCGGAGCCTGGCCTCTGCGAATCAGCCTGGGGAGGGCGGAGCGGGACTTAGGGATAGGGGGAGGGAGGCAGCTGTGGGGGGAGGGCAGAGGGAAGTTGGGTAGTAGCGGTGGGTGGGTAGCAGATGCTGGAGGGAAGCTGTCTGGCAGGTGCTGGTCAGTGGCCCTCACCGAGATCCCACCCGCAGGTCCCC